TAAATTCGGCTTGACAGTGCACAACTACTCGACCGAGCCAAACACAAAGTGGCGAGGATGATAATCAAAGCCTGGCCATCTGATGTTAATCCGATCAACTGCATGATCGATTTTCCATCGCCAGTGAGACCGTTTGACATCAAGTGGACAAAAAATAAGGCCCATTAAAAGGAGAAGTAATGGACCAATCAGGAATCAGTAAGAAAGATCTGTTTAAATCATGTATTTCGCATTTTTGTCTAACTCCGATTATGCGCTTGAGTACGAGTGTTAAAAATTAGACGATGATGAAACCATCCACCCGAGAAATCACCGTACCTTCACCTTCCATATACATGTTGTCAATGAGTGATTTTATGCCACATTTAAAAAATCGTCAATTGTGTTTTAGATAACGCTTGATTACCTAAGTGGGACTGTACTATTTATTACCATGGTGCTAAACTTCAAGATATTTCGGACAAACCAGAATGCCGGCTTTTGAACGAACGTCCTTTTTGGCCTCCCAAGTTTCTCACTTGATAGAAAACGAGGACTTAGATAATATGAAAAGTTCCTAAAGATTTTGATGCCTCTAGAATTTCAAATATATTTCACAGAAAACAATAAGAAAAAAATGTTTTTGTACCAAAAAATCAATCTTTTGGTTTTAAATAAGTGTCTTACAGTGAAACATTTTACGTATGTGCAACGCCAATTCGCGTAGCAACGTGAGCTTTTTAATGCCCCTCATGAAACGAGTGAATAAGGACTGTGTGCTAGCTTCATAATGCCATACAGAGAAGTATGACATGAATTCTACCGAAGGCATAAAACTTGTAGACAGCAAATATATGCACAAATGTAACGGTAAAGTGGGCATAAAATTATTCAGGATTTGTAAAAATATTTCCAACCCATGACATAAGTTTCCTTTGAGTATGAAAATATAAGTAGATGTAATCTATAATCAACTGAGTACAAACACGAATATTTTGCCTTATGTTTTTTGCTAAATAAAGTTGAATTTGTCCATGTATCGGAAATATATAGCAAAGATTTACATTATCAATATACTTATTTTTCATAGTAAGATATTTTCAGGAGCTAAAAAGACGTTCTTTCAAAAGCCGACATCCTACTTTGGCTGGAGTTTTTTGAAAGTATACGCCTGTCAGGAATGACCCAGTTTTGTGTATCTCCGATTGTATGCTCAAGTATGCTGAACGAACGAACGTATTTTTACCTCATGAAAATACCTCGCTCGATGAAAAATGACTACTTATATAGTGAATATATTTTTCAATAGACTTCTGATGCCCCTACAAATTCAAATAAAGTTTAAATTAAGGCATAAAAGTCGATAGAAAATGTGTACACTGTCAAGAAGAATTATTTTGAGAGGCCAAACGATATTCTTTCAAATATCGGAATCCAGGTGTGTCTGAAGTATTCTAGGACTATGCACCAAGTTAATAAACATTACGATTTCACCTTAGTAATGATTCCTAATCTAGGATGGTTCGAGCGCGTTAGCTTGATTGTAATAAGGAAAATGCGCTGGGAATCGACCTCGACCTTTCTCTCTCTTCCATTTCCGGGAAATTAACTGATTGTTCAAGGCGGTTGATCAGCTGGTGCTGAGTTCCGGAGATGCGGCTGACAAGGCTAAAAACAGCCCGTCGGCGCATGGTACACACACCACATCAAGATTGCTGGTCTAATTTCGGGCTCTTTAAATCGGCTACTGCAATTCACGGTTAATTCAGGACCAGCATATAACTAATCAGTGGCCGCAATATAATGTCTCTCGGAATGGGTTTATTTCTAAATCAGAAAGATGCTGGGCGAAATGTTTATTTGAAAACGCTGATGTGTTGGCCTTGGCGCCAACAGAGGATTAAAAAATCACTCCGCAAAGTGTTGGTCAAAGCGTTCGTCAAAACTGCCTGCGGCTGTGAAGGTTACGGGGATGCGATCACCTGACAACTGGCCGACGAAGCAAACAACTTTTTCGAAGACACCATCTTCCCTGAAAAAAAAGATGAAAGAGAAGTTGGTTCAATGTGGAAAGCACATATACTGAGTAAAAGGGAAAATGATTTAAGCTCTTCTGAAGATAGAACATTCTAAATATCAGCTCTGCTGTCATGTGTTGCGTTTTGTGCGTACATGCAGCGTAAAGTATGCTAGCCAAGCGTTTAACTCAAAAAGTATGATCAGGAATTTGTTGCCAACGGGTGATCGGTTGTGGTAGTAGTAGTAAAAAAGATAAATCGATATTTATTCGGGCTACGCGTGCGTATGACGAAGGCCTGAAGACACAGGCAAACAGTAAGTTGAAAAAAAACGGTTAGATGTTCTTTTCATCGGCAGTGAACCAGCGGAATGTCAGTCAGAGAAGGACTCACTTGGGTGCAAACGTTACTTCTACCCTTGCCACATCCTGCCTCTTGACATCACCGGCTGCCTCTAAGAAACCCGACTTGGTTGTGAAGATGAAGGCTTCCGAGGCTTGTTGAACCACCTGACTTTCCATCGGGTGTGTAGAGCGTTGTGAGCTTACGGTCACAGCCGAACGACTCTGAGTTAGTTCGATTTGCTCTTCGCTGTCGTAGACAGAAGCGCCAGGTTCCGAACACTCCGAAGGCGTAGAAGAAGACCAGATAATCGGAGGTGAGCGCAGCTCCTTAAGACTCCCCATACTCGGCTTGTAGAGAACTGAAAAAAAGTGAACGAAACAGGCTATGATGAATGACATTATTTAAGCCCATGATTCTGACTGAGCTATCTACTGGAGGTCATTGCATGCGGATTTAAAAAATATGAAATATGAACCAGTTGAAGGAGCAGTTGACGAGAATGCGTAAACTTTCGAAAAATTCTCACAGGTAAACATGTAGTCGCACGAGTCGGCGCCTATCCAAATTAATAAGGAAACACCTCCGGGCATGGCTGAGAAGACGTAAAGTCAGGTGTATAAACAGTGCTATTCTGGTGCAGATGTTTGATTCTGGACGTCGTGTGGACTCCAACAAAGCCTGCTGGTGGATTTATAATTCCCTGGATCAGTAACCGCTACTCGGTTGAGGAAGCCGGTCTTGTGCGTACAAAAGAATTTTCTGCAACTGCGAGCTTGGCGTGGCCAAAGGTCACTTAATTGCATGCACTTTTCTGTGCTTTCTCTCCCTCACTCCTGTCTCCCTCCCTCCCCTGGTCCGACTTCAACAAACCTTCACTGCCGCTTAACCAGCCGCCTATTACCCATCACCAACCCCACAAACCCCTGTAGCGACCTTGTATTTCCTAGCCATGCTTTGCTCACATGCCCCGCTGGTCTGGCTCTCGTGTGCACCAGCCCGTGCACGCCCTAGGTTCTCAAAACCCCCGTTCAAGGTCACCCCCTGTCTGGCATCACTGGCCAACCACTTCTCAAGGCCAGGAGGTTACTGCGGGGAGTTGTTTACGCTCAGTCACTCCCAGAACCGGTTGAAGTTGTCCGGACCCGGTGATCTACTTGCCGTACTGCGCCTCTGGACTCCGACCCATTCATGACTGGACTGCAGTTTTCTTGGAGTCACTTGCCTATTGCTTAAATTCTGCGCTTGTTACGCCTTATTAAATTACCCTAACATTCTGGCCTTCCACGCCCTATCATACCTTCTAGTTTTTTTTCGAGAATTCATGTTGGCAAGCATATGTTTTCGACAATTAATCATCGGGCCAGTACAATGCAAGGACAGAAATGTGCATTTATTCATTCATCTGCTCCTGTGGGGCAGGCTATATTGGCCGAACAACGCGACGTCTGGAAAGGAGAATAAGCGAGCATATACCATCTTGGCTCGGCAGACGAGAAAATCGATCGATCTCAAGTTCAATTCTCGCATACTTGATCGATACAAACCACCAAGTTGACGTGAGAGAGGCCTTTGAAGTCATATACCAGGCTCCACACACTACTCTAAAGGCCTTCGCAAGCGGGTGCTCGCCACAGTCGAAGCAGTGGCAATCCGCTTGACAAACCCCGCTCTCTGCTGTAAAAAGACGCTCGTAGCCGCAGTCTGCCTACCTTGGCGAAATACCCCAGTGAATACCGTGTCACCAGGGCAGACGTCCGCACCAACTACGCACGCCGACACTGAGAACACTCCTCCTTCCCCTTCCCTGCTTGTCGGACCCAACGCCACCAACAAGCTAGAACCCGCATGCCTGAGACGAGGGAGCACCTGGAAGACTAATTAAACTCCCACCCCACCCCCTCCCCCTACCCCGAGAACCATTTAAGAACTACACTACCTATAACTGACCATTTCTGTCCTTGCATTGTACTGGCCCGATGATGAATTGCCGAACACATATGTTTGCCAACATGAATTCTCAATTGTAAACTGGGACTATTTACGGAATAAGTTTATATTGGTTGGGATACGTTTTACCGTCTATTATCCAGCCGGACCCCATCGTATCCCACACCCCCATCACCTATTCCCATGACTAAATGTCATTTAATGACCAACGTATTTGACCGCGTGTTTATCTTTGACCCCCTTCAGACATAGATGTAATGGTCCGATGAGAATTTATCGGAATAAGGTTAGCTACATTCCCTAAGTGCACACATAGGTCGGGTTTTGACCGCCGTATAAAGGCTACCTTCAGTTAGCGCAAGGTACGAGTTTTTCTTTCCCGAACAAGTACTCCAAAAGAACTTTTGGGGGTCCACAGAATGACCCATATCAGGCAAGTGTTTGGTAATGGACGAACCAAGAGTTTTGTTTTCCTGTTTTGATAGCCAACTAGGCAAGTGCTTTTTAGCTCTAGCTGCCATTTGCTGTTGCGTTCGCCCTATGTACTTGCATCCGCAAAGACATGTAAATTAGAAAGCTCAGGTATCCTCGCCAATTTCTCCTCTAAATACTCTGAGCGAAATTTTTGCAACCCTATAAACTATTATCGCAGAAACTGCAAAATGTCTTATTAAGTAGGACCACTACGAATCCTAACCTCACCCCCCCCAGCACCACAACTATTACCACTATAACTTTAACAAAAGACATTTTACTGTTACTACTACTGCTGGTGCTGCTAATACTTTAACTAGTAATAATTTAACAAATATTTCCTCTACTATGCTTAGTACCGTACTTTTCGCTGCTTCTGCTACTACTACTGAGAGCAGACGTTAGTAATATGGTTGATCTCTAGTAAAAAAGAAGGCTTCTTCCCCATACTCGTGCCTGAAAGGGTTTTTAAACCGGAAGGAAATAGCGCAGAGCACATAACCCATTTAGAGGCATATAATTTCAGTCTTTAATGTCTTGATGCGAAAATAGCTAAATAAAGACCACTACCAACATACTGGAGGAGAACTCTTCAAGCACCCAGGCTTCTCTTGAGGCTCCGCGGTTGGCCAGGCGAACAGAGAGGGTGGAAGTCTGGCCAACGAAGGTCACGCCGCCCTGGACCACTGTGGGAGAGAGGAGGTCTAGCCTTGGCATTTTCATGATTGCACACACGCGAAGGGGAGCACAGGACAGCGCGGGGGCTGTGGCATTTACTGGCAGGACAGCAGCACTGCCTACGCTGGAGGCAACTTCTTTGGGACTGCAAACGCGAAGGTGCAGCCTACCAGACCAGGCGCGCTGGGGAGTTTCGTTAAACTACAGAAAGTAGGCGGAAGCGAAGGTTACAAATGGCAGTGCATATAAGCATCGCGTATATAAGCCCATACGTTTAATGCTATAGTAGGCCTACTTATTTGATTTAAGTAGGCATGTTGTATTAGGGTTACGTTCCCGGCCTTTTGCGGAGCGCTTAACAGGCGG